GTGACTTTAGGAGCCTGAGGCAGGAGGCTGAGGCAGGAAGATCACAAATTCAAAATCAGCCTTAGCAACTTATCAGGCCGTGAGCAATTTACCGGAGACTCTATCTCAAAAAAAAAAAAAAAAAAAAAAAAAAAGGGGCTGGGAATGTGGCTTAGTGGTTAAATGCCTCTGGGTTCAATACCCAGTACACGCCCCCCAGTGCAAATATACGTAGGTAGTTCCTAAATCCAACACGGTGGCACACACTGTAGTCCCAGATACTTGAGATGCTGTGGCAAGATCACTTTAGCCCAGGAGTTCAAGGCCAGCCTGGGAAACATAGAGATCCCATTTCAAAAAAACAAAAATATAGTTCTTATAATTTCATGGAAAAACCAAAATGGAGACAGGAATAGGGGAGATTATTGAAAGTAACTAAGGGCAAAAGTTTTACTTTTTCTGTCAAAACAGACCTAAGCTTTCAGTTTTCCAACACATTCTTTTTCCCCTGCAGGCTGAGGTTGACAGACCCTCGCTCTCTCCCACTGCAGGTCCAATAAAGTCCCTAATCTTGATTAGGTGGATCCCAATCAGATAGAAAACTGATTCCCTGAGGTAAGACTAGTCGCTGACAACCCCTCTCTCTTTCCAAAGAAACTTCCTGGGTATCCTTTTGCTGTGTCTTCACAGGGTGCACTGCCCTAGAGCTAAACACAGCTGCCTCAGAATCATCCCACTCAGCCCTGGCTTTTTAACTCCTACCTATTTTTGGAGGAACTGATTACATTCCCCATTTTTGAAGGAGAATCTCTTTAGAAACGAGAGACTACTTATATCCATGATGGTTCTGTAAAAWCAGAAGATGGAATTGAGGGGAAAAAAATAACTTCTTGAGATGCCCCCATGTGTCAGGGTGAAAGAAAATCTCTGTGATTCTCTGGGAGTCAGTAGATAAAGGTAGGATCACTGTGAGCCTCTGAGCATGGCTAAGTCAGCTTATTATTAAAAAAAAAAAAAAAGAAGCTTTCAGGCTGGCTGCAGGGGTGCGGGCCTGTAATCCTAGTAATTTAGGAGCCTGAGGCAAGAGGATCACAAATTCAAGGCCAGCTTCTATAATTTGGTGAGGCCCTACCTCAAAATAAAAAGGGCTGGGAATATAGCTCAGTGGTGGAGCACTCTTGGGATTCAATCCCCAGTACCAAAAAAAAAAAAAAAAAAGGTGTCCTAGGCTAGATTGTGAAGGGATTGCATGGTCAAGTCTAGTGGAATACTTCTTATTTCTCTTTTACTCAGGACAGAGATGGGGAAGAAGCACAGAGGCAGAATATCTTCTTGATTCCAAGGACACCTCTTTTTTAAATAATCCGTTGAATTTGGGGGTAGGGGGATACAACCCTGAAAACAAGATCAATGCCAGATTTTCTCATTCTTATCTCTCACCTACCCCCCCACTCCACCCCACCCCACCCCACCCAGCCACATACTGGGTAGGGACACTCTACCACTGATCTACATCCCCAGCGCTTTTCAGAGTGAAAAATAAAAAATGTATTTTGAGACAGGGTCCAACAAAATTGCTGAGGCTGCCCTCCAACTTGCGGTCCTCCTGCCTCAGCCTCCCAAGTAGCTGGGATTACCAACGTGTGTCACCGCACCTGGCTCACTCTTATTAATCATGTGCATAAATCCGCCCATTTACATCCCCAACCTCAYTTTGCCGCCACGTAACCGAAAGATGAGTCACATGCCAAAACCTTACAAGTCATCTGATATTTCCAGTATCTGAGAAAGTAGTTCCCTAATTGGGGCACTACAAGTAGATTCCCCTTAGTGCTTCCCTGTAATCCCTGTTCCTCAAGAGGCTGAAGCAAAGAGGATGGAGAGAGGCCAGCCCAGGAAACATAGTGAGACACCATCTCAAAAAAAAAAAGTAAAAAGTAGTCCCCCCTCTTCCAGTTTCTGTTACCCCATATACCATGGTCTCAAAATAATAGTACAATACGGTAAGATATTTTGAGAGGACATTCACAAACTTTGGTTACAGTATATAATTGAACTACTCTATAATGTCTCACTGTGCGTAATTTATAATTAAACTTTATCATAGGGTTGTATGTGCAGAAAAAATTTAGTACTGTCTGCGGTTTCACGCAAACACTAAATGTTTTCAAACATTATCCCCCAAGGATCAGGGAGAACTACCTTAAGCTGTTTTCTCTGGAAAAATATCTACCAAGTTTTACCCAGTTGCCATAGGCCAAAATATAGTAGCCAAGTAAAATTTAAATATACTTACAACAAACAGCCTTAATTTAGAACAATATTTATCAACATATGTTCCTTGGACTATCTGCAGCTGAAAACCTTCAGCTTGTGTTAAGAATGGAGATTCTAGGACTGGGGATGTGGCTCAAGCTAGCGTGCTCGCCTGGCATGCGTGCGGCCCAGGTTCTGATCCTCAGCACCACATACAAACAAAGATGTTGTGTCCACCGAAAACTAAAAAATAAATATTAAAATTCTTTCTCTTCTCTCTCTCTCTCTCTCTCTGTCTCTCTTTAAAAAAAAAAAAAAAAAAAGAATGCAGATTCTAGGGATCTCTCCCAGACCCGCTGAGTCTGGACCTTTGAGGATGSAGTATCTCCCCAGATGGTTCTAGTACCCTTTAAAAGGTAGCAACCAATTGCTTTGTTCACTGGTAAAATTAGGGCAAACATTCCTAACATAACTTCCAAAGAGATAAGAACAACAGAACAAAGATCTCTGAAGGTGAATGACTTGTGACCTTGGGATTTCTGACTCCCAGTTTAATATTTGCTCATTTTTCAACTACAAAACAAAAGAAGGGAGAAATCAAAAGTCAAAGTATTTGTATATACATTAATATACAAAATAACTTCTAATATTGGTTGCATGAATAACACTCTCCCCAACCAAAGATCCAAGTTCTGGTTTTGTATTCACTGAGAAATCTAGTTTTAGCTTGCAGCTATAATTTTTTTTTCCTTCTAGCTATAGTTAATTGTTTTTTATCTTTGCTTAGATTCTATCATGCTGCAGTGACATTTTTCTAGAGTCTTTGAAGATTTTTCTGCCTGTGGGGATAGCCCGGATTCTCCCTTGAATGCATATTCCTTGCTTGAGACAGCCCCCATTCCCCCTTGAATATACATCTGCTTTCTTAAAATAAACCCCTGTCAATACCTTTGGAAAAGAAAAGAAAGAATAATAGAATCATCTGAAACAAACTTCATTTAGGAGGAGATGTTAAGTAAAAAGATGGGTCAAAACCAGGGGAGGTGGTRCAGCCCTGTAATCCCAGTGATTTGGGAGGCTGAGGCAGGAGGGTCATAAGTTCAAGGCCAGCCTCAGCAATTTAGGGATACCTGTCTCAAAAAATAAAAAGGACTGGGGATATAGCTCAGTGGTAGAGCACCCCTGAATTCAATCCCCAGTATTACCTCCCAAAAAAAGACAGGTTAAAAAAATTAAGTTGTCGTTGTTCCAAATTTGCACTAGATATATATATAAGAAACTACCCACAACAACACCACCACAGGTTTTTGTGTTAGTATTAGCCTTCTTTCCCATAAGATATCCCMAAATTTATGTGCAATTTTTAAATTTAAAAATGGTAATATACACCTCAAAATGCTGACTTCTCAGTTAAAAATTTCATCATTAGTATAATTTTAATTTATTAAAATCTCAAAAGCATTATTAAGAAAAATGTATTTATACACCAAAATCCTAATAATGTATTTTAAATTATTCATTTCCCGTTTAACTTGTATTTAAAGGCATACCTACAAGTTTTTAACATAGTGATAGTTTACAAACTTGAGTTGTTTTTTTCTGCTTTGTACTATTTTTAAAACATRTTTGCACAGTTCTACAGAGCACCAGAATTATTTTAAAGGTTACTTTTAAAAAATCAAGCTGATATTTATACTTTATCCATTCCTGTAAGTAGGAACATTTCTGTTGTATCTAGTTCCAAGTTACTATAAGCAACATAATTAGAATTATCTCTGCATATGAAGCTTTTTTAATTTTTGTCCTCCTGGGGTCCAACCCAGGGTCTCCCAGATGCTAGATAAGAACTTTGCCACTGAGCTATATCCCTTTTTTTCTTGTAAAAGTTATTACTTCAAGATTCCCAGAAATTTATTACTTTAAATTCCCAGYACTGGTTTTATAAGTTCAAAAGTTATGACCATCTTTATGAAATCTTAATATAAAACATATTTTCCCCTTGCTATTCAAAAATTACACCAATCTTCATTACCACAAGCTATATGAAAAAGAATCAAAGTCCTAAAAAGGCTGACAGGTACAGGTTTTTTTTTTTTTTTTTTTTTTTCATCTCAGCATTTCACTTTATTTTTGTTCCTTTACCACATATATTTTTGTTTTAATTTTTATTTCTTCATTATGATTAATACTTTTAAAATCATCAATGTGACAGTTACTATTGTATAAACTTTATGTATATAAAATTATATTTTTATAAGAGCAATTTAAATATTCCCTTAATATKTGAAAGCATTAAAAACCCATCCTGTACATGTTGGATATAATAAAACAAATTTTTAAATTTCCAGGAAGTACTAGTTGGGAGCGTAGTTCAGTGGTAAAGTGCTTGCCAAGAATGCTTCAAGGCATTGGGTTTGATCCCCAGCTTCTCAAAAATAAATAAATACATAAATAACTTTCCAGATAATAAGAGATCTCATTTCATAGAGGGAAAAAAAGCACAMAAATTTTAGCTATGAGAGAAAATATATTTTCCTATACTTTTAGCATATTTAACATTTGTACAAAAGTTAATTTTTAAAAGATTCTTTAATTATCGRGAAAAAAAGTATCTTCAAGATTAGAAAGTGCATTTAACCTCCCGTCTTCCTTAAAAATGATCCCATAGAACTTCAAAAGTTCACTGAAGGAAATGGCATGATAAATGCAAGATGACTACTACTATTTTTTAAATACTTAAGAAAACCATTCACTAAATGACCTACCTGATCTCACCAAGCACGTCAAACTGATAAGTAAGAATAACCTCAGCATATGGAACTGCAGAGAGCGTGGGTCACATTCACAGAAGGTTAATTTACTTCGCAGAGCCTTAGAATTTTCACTTCGGGGTTTTGCTCACAGTGAGCTCAGATATCTAATCCAGAGGTGTGGTGACAACAGGAAGTTCCCAAGGGACAGACTGTAGCCCTGTCTCGCCCTGTCCTTGACTCCTCCTCCTTTCAATAAAAGGTCAGGTACTTTCAACCTTACACATTTTATGCATATTAAGATATTATAATTTGTATTTGCCAAATGACGAGTTGAAAATAGTTTCATTCTTTGTGGGCGGTTTATTAGCTGTTTGGCTTGGTATGTTGAAATCAAGTGTGTCTTGAAATCTTCCCTTGGCCAACTCCTTGTGAATGAAATGCCAACTGCATTTAGGATTCTGTTGGCCTGTGTGTACAAAACCATTTTTATGTTAATTCATGCATTCATTCCTTATAGGGCAGTCTTATTTGTTTTTAAGCACATTTCATTAGGACCAATTACAAATCCGTATTTGTAAAATATATCTGTTTCATATTAAAGGAAACTTTTTTTGTACTGTATTACATATCTTTATTTTATTTTGTTCCCTCCAGAGTTCTGATCTCTAAAGTTCTTCTCTTTTGGGGATTGGGATTGTAGCTCAGTGGTAGAACACTTGCCTAGCATGTGAGAGGCACTAGGTTCAATCCTCAGTACCACATAAATAAATAAAGTAAAGGTATAGTGTCCATCTACAACTAAAAAAAAAAAAAAAAAAAAAATTAAATACAGTTCTCTTTTTAAAGGAAAAGTAAATACAAGGGGCTGAGGATATAGCTCAGTTGGTAGAATACTTGCCTTGCATGCACAAGGTCCTGGGTTCAATTCCCAGCACTTCCCCCCCCCCAAAAAAAAGGAGATACAAAAAACTTAAATACAGAACCATGCCAAAATATAATCTACCTCAGTGTTAGAAGTAACTACACTTGTGTTCCTAGCTACAAAGTAGTAAAGGACTGTAGATGGAGCTCAGTACTAGAACACTTGCCTAGCATGTGCAAGTCCCTGGGTTTGGGACCTAGCACTGAAAAACAAACAACAAGAACATAGCTACCAAAGTAATTTAATGGGCTGGGGTGGTGTCTCAGTGGCAGAGTGCTTGCCTAGCACATGTGAGGCACCAGGTTCAAGCCTCAGCACCACATAACAAATAAAATAAAGGCATTCTGTCCATCTACAACTACAAAAAAAAAAAATACTTAAAAAAAAAGTAATTTAATTCCCTTTCTGGTGAAAGAGCTTGCAACACCAAAAAATAATATAGAAAGATAATCTAAGAATACATTTTCAAGGCTGAGGTTGTGGCTCAGTGGTACAGCACAAGCCTAGTATGTGCGAGGCCCTGGGTTCAATCCTTGGCACCACATAAAAATAAATAAAATAAAGATATTTATTTTATTTATTTTTATAAATAAAAATAACTACAACTAAAAATTAAATATCTTTTTTTTAAAAAAAAAGAATACATTTTCATCCAAAGCATCAGGCAAAAGCCACCAGTCTCTTTGCATTGTCTATCAGAAATATATTTTTTTATGAAGTAATACCATCTCTCATAAATTGATCAGTTCTCTTTGTGTCTACACCCCATTTAAATAACAAGATATTCCTTTGCAGAAAGTATCTTTTAGTAATGCTTTTCAAGGAGTCAACACAATACAATTACCTAGGGAGATTTTAAAAGTACTATATAGGGGCTGGGGTTGTGGGTCAGAGGCAGAACGCTCGCCTGCCATGCATGAGACATTGGGTTCAATCCTCAGCACCACATAAAAATAAAATAAWGATAKTGTGTTTACCTATAACTAAAAAATAAATATTTAAAAAAATAAAAAGAAAAAGAACTATATGTAGATGACTATGTCATGCCTCAGATTACCTGGTACTGGTCCACTAATGAGAGTTCAAACCCCACACCTTCTACTGGCCTTAAGCAAAACTTTTTATTCTTTTATTTTTTATTTTTTTGGTTCCAGGCATTTAATTCAGGGTCACTCACCACTGAGCCACATCCCCAGCCCTATTTTTTATTTTATTTAGAGACAGGGTCTCCCTGAGTTGCTTAGTACCTCGCTTTCACTGAGGTTTGCTTTGAATTCTTGATCCTTTTGCCTCAGCCTCTGGAGCAGCTGGCATTACAGGCATTGCATACACACACATACACACACACACACACACACACACACACACCCCGTCTTAAGCAAAACATTTATGTTCTATAAGTGTAAGTGTTCTCAAGCATAAAATGAAGATAGTGAGATCACACCTTGCACAGGGCTGCTGAATGGATTGAATGGGATGTAGCAACTAAAATCCTAGCACTGTGCCTACTGTCAAGGTGAGCTTTGTCACCCCTTAGTAACTACTGTTATCACTATGGGGCCACATGAGTAGTACAGTTCCCTCCCATCAGGAGACAGAGTGCACAGTGTGAGYAGAGGGCACCAGGTGGGAAATTAGAAAGGGAGGGCTCATCAGAGTTATGATACTTCAAGTGAAAGACTTCAGTCAGCACTTCAGTCTGTTTTTGTTTTTGTTTCCTGCTTGCAGAAATAAATTAAGGAAGCATAAGTAGGAAAATCAAATAGATGACCCACCAGCTTTTCTATTTTTTTTTTCCATTTCCTCTAACCTTAGTAATTTAAAAACAACCGCCCTCTGTATCAAATGGAGAATTGTTTCCCATTTCTCTTAGGAACCCGTTAAGGGGCACATTGTTCCCTGTTGGATCAGTGTACTTGCTTAAAAAATATTTTTTGAGTTCCTATCCATTTTAATTACCATGTCACATGCTTATCTAGACAGAGCCAATGTACTTTTTTTTTTTTTTTTTGAAACTAGCCAATTATAGGAATAATGATCGTTCCAGTTGGGACATCTCTGTTTTACCATCCATGGTTAGGGCACAGAAGTTGCCCCGACTTTCTAATTGTGTGCTCCTTTCTTCCAACATGCGAAATAGCACATGAATCAAGGGAAGAACCTGTTCTTTCTTTTTTTTTTTTTTTTTTTTTTTTGATCAGTGAGAAACATCACATATAAGAAAACAAAACATTCCCAAAGGTTAGGGGAGATGAGAGGAGAATGGGTCTGACTATAAAGGGATAGCTCAAGAAAACTTTTTCTCCCAGCAATGAGGATATTAGGCAAGTACTATACCACTGAGCTTTTTCCCCAGACCTACAGAGACTTTTAGTGATAGAATAGTTTTGTGCCTTGATTGTGGTGGTGACTACAGGAGTTTACGCATGCAGTAAGATTATTTGGAACTACACGCACATATACACTCATTCATGTTATGCTGATAAAATCTAAACGATCAGTAGGTTATACCACTGTCAAGTTTTTGGTTTTGATAATGCATTACTAATCATATAAAATGTTATAATTAGGAGAAACTGAGTGAGGGTACACAGGACCCCTGCATTATTTTTGCAACTTCCTGTGAACCAATAATTATTTCAAAATAGAAGGTGTTTTTAAAATTCCCCCAAATATGTCAACTTGTTGCAGAAAGCTCGGTCCTTGTCCCCCACACCAATCCAATAACGAAGACATGGTTTTGAGAAAAAGTAAAAAGACGGTTTATTGCAAAGGAGAAACCCAGAAGACTCCTGGGTTTATGATTTTGCTCATCAGCAGGAACAGGGGATTTTTACAGAGGTGATTCTGAGAAAGTGAGATTAGGGAGGAGACATCAGGAAGGAGAAGATCAGGGAAAAGAAGATTGGAGAAAATCAGAGAAAAGGTTAGGGAAAAGAAGATCAGGGAGGAGAAGGTCAGGGAGAAGAAGATTAGGAAAAAGAAAAAAAATGTTAAGTTTCAAAGCCACAAGAGATATAGTCAAAGCATCAAGTGAACCCCTGTTACAAACCTTTATAATCATTGGAAAGGACATTTATTTAAAGATATTCTGAAAAAAATTTTTTTAAATCTCTCACTAGCTAATAAAGACTATATCAGTCTTATGACTTTGATAAATATCACAACTCCAGAATGCCACAATTTTCCTCATTGCCAACCAAATATTTTGTACTGCCTTCTCCTTCTCCTTTTTTAACCTAGAAATCACTTGCCATAGAAAGCAAAATAAAAAGGGGCAGGTAGCCTTCCAAATACATGGACAGGAAAAACAGGTATGGAAGTCTAATGGAGCTGAGGAGAGGTGGTTTTATAACTATCATTGGTTTCAGTAGCCAGAAAGGTGACCTATGTCCCCACCTACTCTGGTCTAGTGCTCCAAGCTGGTATATGACTAACTATAAAATCCTTTTGTTTCCCTATCTGCATCAGTGACTGCTGCTATCTCTCTTACAGTCCAAGTTTAGAAAAGTCTGTTTCCTCAATTCATATCCTACAAGGAGATTAGGGTAACTTCTCCCCAAACCACTCCTTTGCTTCATTTCTTTGTTCTTTTATTTACTGAACATTTTTAAAGCTCCCATTAAAAAAAAACTTATAAGGAAAAAATAGGACACAAGTCCTTCTGTCAAGGAGAGTCACATCAATAATAATGCTAACATAGGGACATGGATATAAATTCTATAGGAGAACAGAGGGGCAAATAAAAAGATGTTGGGAATTCCAGAGGCAGGAGGCATTGGGAAAGCTTCACACCCTTTGATTTCAGCTCCAAAGACCAGGTAGGAGTTTTGCTAGATGAAGAAGGTTGGGGAAGAGCATTCCAGGCACAGGGAACAGTCTTGGAAGATGGAAAAAAGTGTGGTTTGAGAATTGGTGTGTATAAATAGGAAACCGGTAATGATTTGAAGATAGGCTATAAAGAACTTCATATGCTATGCTTAAGATATGAGATTTTATATTCAATGTAGTGTTAACAGAGATGAGAGCTTTAGGTACAAAAACAATAGAAACAAGTTTGAACTGAGTATTGTGAGATTCACAGGCAAGATTTTGATTGTGGCTTCAGCTAAACGAAGACAGCACTGATGGATAGGGGACCAGGCTGCTTCCGGAACAAAGGAAGGCGCGGATTTTTATGGAGTTGCAGGGGTGGGGTAGGGTCTGGTGTTCCTCTTTGG